TTTGCTTACGACTATTAAATTGGATTTTCTGAACGCAGGTCCTATTAAACTAGTAGAAAGGCTAGTAAAATATAAGTACCCTTATCTCATTGCAGCTTTTCTTATGCACAAGCAAACACTGCTAAATACTTGTCTCCAAGCCTGAAATTGAGGACTTATCATTCTCCTTGCTCAGACACATTCTATTAATTTCAAAGATACAGAACTCATAACAAATTTGACACTTAAAAGCAGGCATGAATCACCCAAAGAAAACTTAATTTCAGGTCATTCAGACAAGAATTAGAGTAGGCTATGGATGTCAGAATATAAAATTAAGTCTTTATTTACTATAGGGTACCAAGAAGTCTGCAGCCCAGGAAACTACACATGAAATGTAAAATAAGCCCTTTTCACAGCAGAGGTGATCAAGCAGCTATACATATATACACAGTAAGAGCTGCATATACATCTGTGACATCGGAGAAAACTCAAATACTGTGTTCTGTGTTTTTCTTTGAAGTGCCATGTACCACCTATTGCATTTATCAGACTTCAAGCTTATAGACATAAATCAGCTATTAAAGGATCTCATGTATTTCTGACGTTACAGCATCATTACCGTCCACGACTTATCCAGCTGGGCACCAACTGAACAAGCCACAGGAGATTATGGTGATGACTGGAGAGTTCACTCATCACCAGGCAAAGCTCAGGCATCTTTAAAAGAACAACAACAAAAATTATGATACTGAAGAACAGATGCGGTGGACATCTGTTCTATTTGCAAAGGAACACACATCTTACTCCCTACAAACATGCACAGCAGCAATGTTAAATCAAATTCATCCAATAAGAGATGGTGTGCATAAAGATCTTCCTGCATTGCACCTGTAAAGTCTGCCAAATACTAAGGTAGCTGACATCAGATTGCTTTGAATCACAGTTTATCAGCCTAGTACAATCATTTCTTCGTCCTTTCAGAGAGCCATTTTAAATAAACAGATGTTTCAGTAAACGTAAGATTCAGTTCAACACAACAGTCCCCTTGCAGAAGAGGACAGGAAAGCATAATCTCATGTGACAAAACACCTTTCAGTACACCCACCCACATCCTAGATTTCACACAAATCCAAAGCTCCCAATTTGTTCATATTACATTTTCAAGCAGGATTTTTCTGATATGCCATTAAAAAAATAAAAACTTCAAACCAGAAGTTCCCTGAAAATTAGACAGCAGTTTCATAAATCTAGTACAAGAGAATTATTTAGGAACTTACCTTTGTATCCCAGTCTTTGATACTCATCAGAAGCTTTACGAAAAGGCACTGAAAATCTATCAGAGGAACTTGTTTTAACTGTTTCTCCAAGCTTATTTTAAATAGTAATAGAAGCAGCAGCAGTATTTCTTGATCAGTATATCCACCCTGAATTACTGTTGTACAGAAATCTAGAAACTTTAAAAGGAATAAAAAGCATTAAAATCTGAAATTGGTCTGAGCTTAAAGTATGACGTGAACTTAAGGTTTCCACCCTCATATTAAAATGTACCACAAACAATATATCGTTCTTGAAACACTCGTGTACTAACATCTCCCCATCTCCCTGGGCCTGCACTCTATTTTTTTACACTTGCTGGAGACTCACCTTTCAGTCAAGGCAATATTCCCTGGACACTACAGGAGTAGGAAAGCTCTTTCTCCGCTGCACGGATAACCCTCATCTAACTGAATGAAAGACTCACAGACTTTATAAATACATGATGCCAAAATCATAAATCACAAGATTTTTCACCATCCAGTTCTTATTACACGGGTTACTTACAACATGAGATGTGTGCATAAATGAGAATACAAATTAATCAAGAGATGGTGTACTCTGCCTCTACTGGAGACACTCTTGAGTGCTTCCTCTCGAACTAAGTGATTTTTCTATTTAAAAATCTCTACAGAACTTATGTTAGGAGGATCCATGTGTTGCCTGATCTAGTTGAGAGGCGTCCCTGCCCATGACAGGGAGGTTGGATTAAATGATCTCTAAGGGCCCTTCCAGCCTAGGCCGTTCTATGATTCTAGGATTCAAATAGTTCCACAAGGAACTCTGAAATCAGTTACGCAGTCAGTATTTTCACCATATAACCTTGAATCACAGAGAATTAGCCTGTGGGCTGTGATCAGCACTCACTTGGCCTGTTGTCTCACAGGACACGGCTCACGGATCTCACTTCCACGGAGGAGTCAGTCACAGCTCCACCGGCTCCCACTTCATTCACTTTGTGCAGCTACAGGAGCCGATCACACACCTCTGAGAGCTACACTAACATGCTCAGCCTAAAACGTACCCCCCTCCAACATCAACTCCCCTTTCCATTTCCCCTGGAACATGGAAACAAATAGTTTCCTCTAAATGAGGGAGCAAAGACACCTGACAAAGTGCCACAGCTGGAAAACAGAGGCAGCAGAACTGTGCAGTTGTGAGTGAAGACAGTGGACGTCAGAAAACTCTGAAGACTGCAACAAGCCTGTAATAATCTCTGCTGAACATGAAGCTGAGACCCTAGGGTAGCATCTACTCACAAAACATGGCCAGGACTAGATTGAGACGCTAGGAGTTTTGATTAAAAAAAATAATAAAAAAATAAAGCAACAACCCCCCATACACCCCCTTTCCTAAAGAAAGGCCCACAAAGGTCCCTTCCACACTAACTAGAGTTTTCTCACCTTAATCACATTAATTAAATTGTTTTCTGGTAGACTGGAGAAGGCTGGACCGGCAGAGGTTAGGTCTTCGCTTGGCTGTTGTTTACTCACTGTTTCTCGCATCTGACTTCTAATGAAAGAGACACTAATCTGAGCAATAAATCAACAATTTAAAAGCCCACAAAGGCTTATTTTCATCATACCGAAGGAAAAAAGAAAAAAGCCCCTGCCTATTTAAAAATGTCTTCAAATAAAAGCAATTCTTGGCTACAAAGCACAAACATTTATCTCAACTTGCAACCAATTGCTTACAATTCTGCCCAGCTATTTAGGCAACAACTCTTACAGATCCTCACTAGCCAGCTGCAGGACAAAGGATAATGCTCTCGTTTGTGGAATCTTACCTGTCAAACATCATTTGAAACTCTAGCTTATTTACTTTTATTAAGACCCAAGATGAGAATTTAAAGAAGAGTATGGCACAATGAAAAGGAGGGGAAATAAGCAACCTTCCGATCCTACATTCTAAGCCCAAGGCTTGCTTGCACAGGATCTGAGCAACAAATATCAAAAACACTTACAAAATATCACACTCATTAAAGTTGGGCTGAAGATGCTGCAATGGAAAGAGAGATCGAAACGCAACACCCATATTGACTAAAACAGTTGACACGTCAGCTAGAGAAGGAATCCATGGTTTAGATTGTTCATCATCAATGGAAGCTGCAAGTAAAAGACATGGAAAGGATTAGTTTCAGAATTAGTTCCTAGCATTAGTTCTTTTTAAGGGAAACAAATAAGCTCAGTGGACTGCATCAATTCTACCGGCTCTCATCTCGGTAGAGCTGGTACACCGAACAACATGCTTATTTTCAGATGAGGGCAAAACAGTAATCTACTGCAGCATTTTATGCTAGAGAAACATCTTGCTTACGTAACAGTCAATTTATAATTCCACTCCTTTTCCCTCACAGCTCTCTTTCATCACAAACAGCAGAATAAGCAAGGAGGCAATGTTTAAGAGAATATATAAATCACCATTCTGTATAGGTGTGGGTAAGAGGGTGGTATCATAGTTGGACTGGAGGTGGAGCTAAATAAGATTGTAAAACAGGCAAGGTTTCTGGAACAGAAGTGCTAAACAGATGTAATTCACTTATTTGACAGAAATAAAACAAACTGCCCATTGCAAAACAGGATAATTTGTAAGACGACTTGTATCTGAAAGCCTGCAAGCTGTACAGAGAATTACCTACAGGACACTACCAAGGTAACATCAAATTAGACACCGTGTTTTCCAAACAATGACAGAAGTCACTAGAATTCCAAACCGGGTCAAGTTTGTGTCTTACAGATAATTTTCCAAGAAAACAAACAAACAAATGATAATGGAACATAACACTTGACACTGCAGGTTAAAATGTCAATGTTCAATTCAGTACAAAAAAACCAAAACCAAACCAAAAAGATGTATCTTTTGTTAAGCACTGGAACAGAATGTCTCACAATGGTCTGAAGACTCCACACTTTGCAATTTTGAAGTGGTCAGACAATTTTCCAGGAGGAACTGTAGTCTGTTTGATCCTGCTCCAAGGTCAGAGATGTGCTGGGAGTTTTCCCAGCCTTTATTCTTTGAATGCTCATTCAGAATCAAGCTTAACAGCACCAAAGCACAAAATAAAGGAGGCTACTTCCCTCTTACATCAGCTCACAGTCTGATTTCAAACAGGATTCAAAATACAGGGTACAATTTGGACAGACCTGAGCAAGTACTTTAAGAGATCCACATTGCTTTAACGATGTTAACTGACAGGCTTAAAGGAATTAGCAATTTTTGATGGATCTGAATAAAGTGAAGACAGGAAGAACATGCAAAGAACTTGTACTAGATAAGTACTTGAGAGTACCGACGAAAGAAGGCAAACCACATAAGACATGAGCAGCAGCGTGAGCTGAAGCAGATCCTTGAAAGTGTTTTTGTGCAGGTGTACGATTCGTTTCACATTCACCATTTATCTGGAAAGTAAACTACACAGTGCTATGCACTGGGTACAACTGTGCGAAAAACATCTTGTAGTCCTTAAGCTATGAAATGAATGTCTGCATCCTCCAGAGTAAAAATATGGAGAGTAAACTTTTGATCAGACTGGGCTCCCCTTCAATCCGTGAAAATAACAGAAGTGAGTTTAAAAGGCTCTGTACTTAATGCACTGTTCTGCAAACACATGCCAGGACCACATCCCGTGGTGCAGCTTGCACACGTTCAGTGAAAACCAATTCCTGGCATTTGTGCATTACATAAGTAACAGAAGAGCCTAAACTCATGCCAGAATTCCAAAACAGAGCCAGCATCTTTCACTTCCTTTCCAATTCCTTTCTATACACAACAGAAGGAAAATGCCTTCATTCAGGTGGTCAGTTTTCCCATCCTTCAAATACTCACCATTCCTTAGAGTTATCTCCATCAATCTGTCTAAAATCCGGGTGGAAACACAGTAGTCAGGATGAAAAGACATCACCTGTGGAGAGAAAGGAAGCTACATGTCAAACACCAGGTTGTACGATGGCATCAGTTTAATTTAAAAAAAAAAAAAAACCAGAGGAAAAAAGCAAAACCAAAACCCTAAAGCCTCTAAAGATACAGCAAGGAGAACAGAATATTGTACACTATAGCCCCAGGTTGAATATGTTGGTTCATGACAACATATTGTGTTAAGTGAACTATCACATATATCTCTGGAACCCATTTGCATCTGCGATCAGGAGCAGGGGCAACTGTCAACTACAAGCAAGTTGAACACTTACAATACTCAACCAAAACAATGAATTCTCAGTTTCCCATAGAACTCATGACTACAAAAACGTGACAATGAAGTACAGCTCAGGTTTCCTAGAGCAATCCACTAGCCCAGCAAAAAGACCTCTCCTTTTTTTTCTTCCCCAGTGCTGGACGGTTTACTGCTCTGTAAGTGAGCTGAACTAGCTCACACCACCTCCTCCTTAGAGGAAAGCCAGGGCTCACAGTAGGGCTGGAAGGAAATTTTTTACTGGCAGGAGGGAAGGACACAGAAGAGCAAATGTTTCCCTTTCAGCAAGACCAGAAAACTGGTCAATGAACCCAGGATGCAATTTCACAGGCAGTCCAGCTTTCTTTTTTTGTTTCAGGCACAGTTAGAATGTGGTAAATAAAAAATGAACGGAGATTGGAGAGAGGTATTCTTGCGAGTAACAGAACAAGAGAAATTCCTGGAGATACAGGTACCGACATAGACATTAGAAAGCAGACAGCCACAACGCTTCCTTTGAGCATGGCTTCAGACTTTTTCCTGAGCCATAATGCATGTCAACCTTTTCCAACTGAAAGTTATATCATAATACAAGTATCTCAGATGATTTAGAAGGTGATGCATGTAGAAATTATACTTTTGCATACTGTAGCAAGTAGAGTTTGGGGTTTTTTTTAAAGGCAGAAGGAAATAAGATTAACATCTGCTTGGCCCATACGACTTCTACCCTAGCATGCACTGTGCCCTTCTGAAATGCAGTAACATGTATCAAGATGGACAGGGACATGCAGCTTTGCAATCAGTCACAAAAGGTGAAGAAAAAGCCACTTCTAGTGTTTCACCCATAGTGACAATTAAAGTATTTCAGACCAGAGAATAAACCAGAACCCAGAAATAAATATTTTTTTATTTAAGAGTTGTTTATCTAATGCAACAGATTCCTTGTTCTGATTATGCCTGCTACAGCTGGCTTCCAGGAAGAATACTACACCCGTACAGAGTACAACTGCATAGTATTACAAACTGAATAGTATTAGTCTTACCTGGAAAAGCCACTTCAGAATTGGTATGGGACACAAGATACAATTGTAAGCAGAACTTAGAAAACCATTAATAACTAAAGAAAGCTGCTGTGTTACACCACAACTGTAAGAAAAGAGATGGGAGTGGGGTAAGAGGGAAGAAATCCGTTAGTGGTTGAATAAAAACTTTCACAAAAGCATAAAAACTTTCCCACCACTCAGATCATCACCAAGAGCAAACAAAGATCTGAACATCAAAAAAGATCTTCTGGTCTTACCTATATGAAATACTATACTATATATACATATATATACTATAAATACACATATATACACATACATATACACATATATATACATAGAATCATAGAATGGCCTAGGCTGGAAGGGACCTTAGAGATCATTTAATCCAACCTCCCTGTCATGGGCAGGGACGCCTCTCAACGAGATCAGGCAACACATGGGGACTGAATGGGGATCGAACCTGCGACCTTGGCGTTATCAGCACCACGCTCTGAAATGCCATACTATACAGGTTACATATTAGGAAGAATTTCTTTACTGAAGGGGTTGTCAGCCATTGGAACAGGCTGCCCAGGAAGGTGGCTGAGTCTCCGTCCCTGGAAGTGTTTAAGAGACGACTAGATGTTGCATTGGGGGACATAGTTTAGTAGGTTGATAGGGCTGGGACAAAGGCTGGACTCGATGTCAAGGTCTCTTCCAGCTGAAACTATTCTATGATTCTATTTATGATTAATTGTTACTTACAACAACTACCTTTTCCTCCAGAAAGCCATACTATGTACTTTGAAATATTTGTATTATTAGAGAATAATAGCTTCAAGCAAACATTGCTTTACACTATTGCACTATGAACCATTAAGCCTGTCTACACAGATGGACTGCTATACTCAGTGAGATCAGCAAATAAGATTTTTTTTACTGTCCAATGACCTTTACCAATACTTTTAGAAGAAAACAGGAGAAAAAAAAATAGATTTTTTTAAATAATCTTTTAAATAAAGAGTCTGCAGGCAAGCTAAAGCAATTATTACTGAATTATTAGCTTTAGTCTTCCTTAAAAAGTCAAGTATGTGATAAACAGCTGAATTAATGATACCCAGTTTCCCATATACCCTTCTTTAGTCCCCTCTATTCTCAGTAACTACAGAAACAGGTAGCTCTGTTGAGAGATCTGTGTCTTCACTCCTCCACACACACTCTATCTGCCTGACCAAGCAAGTGGCTGGGAAGACATCTGCGGGTCAGCTCAACATCCAGCACGTGCTGGCTGTGCCGTCTGGGCAGAATGCATAGGCAATTAAATCTTAACTGCCTTCTGCAAGGGATGACTCATTCAATTCTCATTTCTCCAGTCAGATTTACAAAATTATTTTGAAGCTTATATCCATGTGATCTTTAAAATATATTAATAGAGAGGCCCGAAGCCAAAGGAGCACATCACAAACATTGCTTCCTCAAGAGATGAGAAGAAGCCACCCTCCTCTTCACACCGACATCAGCACAGACACACGTACACAAAATCCTTTAAGATTAAATGAATTCTCTCAGTTTCAGTGATCCTGGAAAAAAATGCCAGTGGAAGTAACCAGAATTTTTCAGGATTTGCACTTGTGGTATTAGTCAAGAATTTGTCCAGCAATTTGCAGCCTGACAGCCTCATAAATAAAGAGCACAAACCCCTACGAGTTACAGAACAGTTGCTTATAGACACACAGACACACTGCTAGCTCAGCGACTGAAGCTAACAGATGTCAGAAATCATGACTTTCTGCAATCCTCATTAGGTGGAGCCCTAAGTGCCAGGCCCATTAAGGACGAAAACATGTGCAAGTCTTTCAGTAGATATCATGCAACATCAGTAGGCTGCAAATCAGTTCACCACAAAGGTTTTCTTTCTGTCTTGGTATGGTTAAGCTTTTGTTCATTATAACATTTCACTTTAGCATTTAACTTTCACAAACTGGTCAGCCTGTCAGTGATAGCCCAACAGAGGAGAAATATGGAGGAGGCCAGAACACTTATTTTTTTTTCATTATGTCTCATTTTAAATGTTCCTCAAGAATTCCAGAGGAAGAAAGAAGGAAGCTTCAAGTAACCAATCACTGTTCTGTAAAGCTAACCTGGAAAGGAGAATTCAGGGAGAGAGAGTCAGTCTTATCTACTTGGTAAGACAGAACTGATTTGAATGCAAAGAAAGTATTTTATCTTAAACACTGCAGAAAATCCTACAAGTAAACACAATAGAGAGAAGAGGACATTCTTACCTAAGAAGGAGCTTTTCTACAGGACTTTGAGGGATGAAGTAAAAATTCCTCAAGTCAAGGTTATGTTGATTGAAGATTTTCCCAGAGGCTGATAAATCAAATATATCTTCTCCAGGGTGATAGTCAGGTATGTCATGAGCTACTACTGAAAATTTCTTTAAAATCTCCCTGTAAAATTCAAAATTGTTTCAATGCATGTAAACATTGAGAGGCTATTTGATCCTTGAGACAGTTATTTTCAGATGTTGAACACATAAGCCTTACTTAAAAAACAGCAAAGTCCAAGAAAATCCACCCAGCCCCGAAAGACAATAGAAACGGTTCACAATAAACATATTAACAACAACTGATAGAAAGAGAAAGATTAGGGAAAAAAAAAAAAAGCCAGAAAAGTGAAGAACTAGATTTAATTGGTTTGGGAGTTGGAAGGACCTGTGTTCTTCTGAGAGACCTTCATGTCCACTGGTATTCTCCTCATCTCCTCCATCCAAACAATTATTTTCCTTTCTTTGTATGTCTTCCAGTAATCGCTTTTCGAGTTCATCTACCCTGAAGTAACAGTAGCAGCAGAACGTATCATCAGCATTTAGCATTTACAACAGAAGACAGCAACATTCAAGCTCCAAATGTGAATCCAGGAGCCAGCAGCCAATTACACATGGCAAAAGCATGTGAGATGTGGCATCTGTAAAAAACAAGCACCTTGCTATTGGTGCCACAAAGTGGCTGTTACCCAAAATCTAATAAAGTTCCAACAGCACAACCAATCACTAGTTTGTCAGCAACAAATACACTAAACCAACAGAATTTTTTGTAATTTCACAAAACTTTCCATCTTCCAGTTGATTTTTTTTAAACTCGTTTTTTTAAACATCATGGGAACTGGACTAGATTACTTTTAAAGGTCCCTTCCAATCCAAAGCATTCTATTATTCTACAAAATGGTATTAGCTATAAGAGTATTTACTACCCCATAGTCAGTCAGCCCACAGTTCCTGGGGACAGATTCTCTAACCAAACCGGCTAATCACCCAGAAACACCCATCACCACCACGTGCCATTAGTACATACACCACATTACACTTTCTACCCAGAAGGTCTCTTGCAAGAACACTCATCAGTTCTTTTCACCGAACTGTGTAACTACTCAGATACCAAAAGTCCACACAACTTTGGAAATCCCTTTGAGGAAACTAGTACAGGCAGTGACATAAATAGTTCTATTTCATGCCTGACCAGCAGCTGCTGGCTGGCTCAGTGACCTATAACAAGGGCATCACTAAATCTAGTCTGACTCTTGAGGGGTAGACAGATAGATCATCCAGCTTTTACAGTCAAGCTGAGGCTGCAGGCACTGTCAGATGTAGGTTGGTGGCATTGGCAGGGGAAGTTTAGCTTGCTGCTACCCAAACTCCCAAATCAGTTTTGAGAAGATGAAGACAATCTTCTACAATTCCAACCCAAGTTCTTCAAAGCAGCTTTAAGAAACAAACCTCTTAGATTCTTCTTTCTCCTTCAAGAGATGCTCTAAGCTGTTCACGTACGACACCTGGCTAACAACAGGAGGCTTAGAAAGCTGTAAATGAAACAGTAAGAAATTAAAAAAAATACCACAAGCTATCAATTCATTTAGTGTTAGACAATAAACAACAAAAATAGAAACCTCTTCTCATTTTAATAATATTTTACCTTAAGATAAAAACTTAAAGGTGACCCTGAAACACAGGATGATTGACTATTTAGGTTTCTCAGTCCCCTGACAACTTTATATAGCGGCCAAATCTCTTTCAGCGATAAATTGAGAAATAACTCCTTCACAATGGATCTGAACAGCAAAGCAAGACTCTGCTTCTCTCCCTAGAGCTGACCTTCAGCTAACTTTCACAAAGAGAATTAGCATCAGAAGCCTTTCACCTCACAGTTGCATTATTATCTTCCACCGAGGCCCTGAGAATCTCCATTGTCATGCACGAGACAAGAAGCTTCAAAAATTATTCAGTTACCGCTGTTATTTTACCAGACTTCCTAGAGGGCAAAGCACCAGTGTTTGCTAAATCACTTCCAGAATCATCAGACAAAACAAAGCTTCCAATCCAAATCCTTATACAAACCCAAATTAAGAAGCTAATAAATAGAATAACAGAACACACAAGGAAAGTCTTATCCCCTACCTAAATCAGTTTGGTTTTCAGTAGCCGGTGTTTTATTCAGCTAGTAGCAGACAACACAGATTTGAAATCTTTTACGGCCATGACTCAGTTCTTTGGACAAGCAGCACGCACCTGACACCACCTTCTTAAACTGCAAGCCTCTTACTAGCGACAAAACTCCTTCCTATGGCCTCCTTCATTTTAGGAGAACAAAATTCAGTAAGAGCATGCCCTCTTCTCCGGGATTTTCTATTACCCAGAGGTAACAAGTTAGATTAAGAAGTTAGTGCCCACCTGCTAATAGAAAAGCCACTAAATACAGATTTAATTTTTTGTATTCAGAGATATCTTTCAAAAGTATCAAGCAGTATGTCTTTGTGTGGGAAATCTCGTGGGAAAGCTGAAGACTTCTAATTTTGTATTTGGTTAATATGTCTAAAATGAGGGTCGAACAACTGAGGAATCAATACTTTATTCCAATGTGCACGCATGCCCCTTCTTATAAAACAAGAGAAGAATGCTAGCATATGCAAAAACCATGGTCATGGAGATTTTGGGACAGTTCGTAGCTGTTTTATCTTACTTGGCCATTAATTATGCAGAAACAGGATAAGTCAAATGCGGTCACATACACGTTCAACCAACATTTGATCTAGGCTACACCTGTTTATCAGTCTTAACCATTAATTACATAGAAATGTCAGTTAAGGTTGTGGAATACATATGTAACCACAGAAGTCAGATCTATAACATGCTTACATAATGAATCGTTAAGGACAGATAAAATAATTATGGCTGTTCAACATCTGTCTATGGAGACAGTAACTCATTCAACAAATAAACTGTTTCAGAGATTTAAATATGGGAGGAGAGGAGGATGAGAGTATTCATACAGGTATTCCTCTAGAAAGCAGCAGCAGGCTGACCCAGCCAGCAGCTCAGCACCACACAGCGTGCTCATTTCCCTGCCCAGTGGTGCGGGGGAGCAAGTAAGAGCTAAAGGAAGAGAATTCATGGGTCGAGATAAAGTCAGTTTAGTAAATAACGAAAGAGGGCATGAGGGGGGAAAAAACTCAAGCGATGTGAAGGCAAACACTCAGCACCTCCCACAAGCAGAAGGATGTCCAGCTAGACTCTGAGCAACAGCTACGTGCCCAACCAACTCCCCTCTGTGGAGCATGGCAGTATCGGGTAAGGAAAATACATCCCTTTGGTCAGCTGGGGTCAGTTGCCCAGGCTCTGTCCCCTCAGGACTTTTTGCCCTCTCTGGCCTACTTGCTGCGGGGGTTAGAGTGGGAAGAAGAGAAAGCCTTGATGCTATGCAAGCACTGCTCTGCAATAACTAGAAGACCGGTCTCTTACCAACACCATTTTTGTCAGAAATACACAGCACCATACAGCTGTTTCCAAAAAAAAAAAAATTAACTAATTTTTTTAAACTAATTTTTAATTAACTAATTAATAGCCTGACTCGGTACAAAATTTTTTAAACGAATGCAGCCATCTCCAACCTGTACCAACTTTGTCAGGAACATCACACTAAGTCTTACTGTGGGACCTTCCTCATAAAACCATTATTTTACAATAAAATTTCAAAATCAGTATTTGACAAGCTGTTATTGAACAAATAGGCTAACTTTCTAAAAACACAGACCCATTCATCACCCTAACATCCTGTAAACTGGGATTCAGACACTTCATCTATCCCTTGTGAGCAGAAGTCATTCAGCTTTTTGAAGCACTTTCTAGAATACTTCCAATTTTCATGAAATTCAACCTCAAAGAAAATGTCACATTTACAGATCAAGATTCTGACAATCACAGACTGTGACAAGGACATAAGACTGGAGTCCAGCACAGAGATCTCAACATCTAGAGCAACTTCCTCTAGTTAATGTCAACTCATAACAATCTTACCTGATAAGGAAAATGAAAACATTAGACATCACATATCTTTTAAATGTAACCTGCCTTTTTCTTTGGGGGGAAAAAGATGAAAAAGAACTTCTAAAAACGACCACAAGGCATGCAGCTAACATGACCCAGCTGCACAGGCCACTTTCAGCCATTCTAAGGACAAGGACAGTTACAAGCACCCCCTTTCTCTGACTACATTACACTGTAGGGCACAGTACCCTTAAGCCAAGTAACCAGTTTTGCAGGCAAATAACTCTGAGAGTTTTCACGCATTATCAATAAAGGAATAAAGAAATATAAAACCCCACAATGTAATAAAGCTGATGCAACTTTTTGTTATTGTTGTTTTTAGCCACTTACATGATGCTTCAGTAACGGAGTCACTGTGTCCTCACAAAAACTGTCAAGACAAGATTCTTCCACGGTTCCTGCCTGTGGTTTGGGACTTGAAGAAAGACTTTCTTGCAGTGGCATGAATTCTACTTCTTCATCGTTGTCATCATCACTACCTAAACTGCAATCCAAGCTCTCATCTTCACTATCAAAGCTGCTTTTTGATTTTCCGTTCAACTTGGACTTGTCCGTACAGGTGCTTTCAACTTTTATCTCTCCTGACAGTTGTGAAGATGTATAGCCACTCCCCGTGCACCCTTCTTTAAAAGACAATGAACAGCGAACACTTTCATCAGCCTTTTCAGAGAGTGAAAGTTTCCCAGATCCTTCCACTGGACAAGAATCAGAAGCATTTTCTGAAGTCTTGCCTTTTGGTTTTGAAAAACTGTTGCTGGCTTGAATACTGGATGCTGTATTGTGTGCACATCCTTCTGGTCTTTTCCTATCTTGCTGTTTCTTAGCATCCAATACCTGAGACAAGCCAGCATTCTGGAGAGGAGATTTCACATCTTTTGTTTGTGTTAAGTTCTGGAGAGAAGGCAACACAGTACTTTCTTCCTGAGAAAAAAGAAGGGACTTTTCCAAGAAAAAGTGTGAGTTAGCCACCTGCAATTGATTCTCTTTGGTATCCACAACAGAAGTATGGTTATTATTACCAGGACCGTGCGCAGAATGTGAAGATGACAGACCTACAGATGAGCAATTATTTTTCTTATTTTCATCGCTTAAGTTGAGGTATTCCCCTGGAAGAGCAGAATCACGTTTAGGTAGAGCAGCAGCGTCCATCAGCTGCAGGACATCACCACGAACAGACTTTAAACAGACAGTTTTTACAGTGCCAGACTTTCTATTTTCATGTTTTGCAGATGACCTACTAAAAGCAGGGTCATTCAAACTCGATCCTTCAGATTGATTTGAGCCATCAGCATCCACACTTAGGGCAGTGCACTTTCTTTTCCCAGGATCGTCTATTTGGTTAGATTGCCCAGAAGACCTCTTAGATGTAAGGCAGCGCGAAGGAACAGACGGGCTCCTCCACATACCAGCGGCCATCTCAGATGATGTTCTCAGTGCGTTTGGAGAAGACATCTCATGTTTCGAAACCTGCTTTGGCTTTGCTTGAGATGGGTCATCTATAAAGTGTTTAAGAAAAAAAAAAGTAAATGACTGTTGTCACGTTTAAATAATAAATTATAATTAAAAAAAATTCACTCCTGTAACAGCTTACCCTTTAAAAAATTGACTTCCGTTTTTAAGTCAACTATGACTGAAATTTTTATCAGGAACTACAATACTTTCATTCTGCTTGAACATAGTGGACTACCATTCAGACTTGGCTGATCCTGATACTGTACTGTTATGTTATTATTGTAACTAACTCTGAAATGAAATTAAATCCTTTTACTTTAAAGCAGCTCCTAGACACCTTAAAACACTTTTCCAATACACCAGTATCAATCAGTCATTGGAAACAGACGATAGCCCAGCTGACACATGGGACTGGAAGAAAGTTTTTGTTGTTACATATTACGGTTAAAGATAATGAAGAGTATGAAAAATATCACTGAAATACTGCAATAATTTTAACAGTGGTCATAAAACAGCATTCAGAATATGAAGAAATTTGTTCTTAGGCTATGATTCAACGGCACCAGATCTCATCTTCCTCACCAGGCTTTTTTGGTTCCTGCCTTAAGCTGTGGCACCAGCACCCGGACACTTCAGGACAAGCTACTTTGACACAGCTGATGTGGCCAAGAACTTCCCAACTCAATTTTCAGCCAGATGAGCTCCTTCACCACTGACCAAGCCCCAGTCCTAGCACAGCTGGTACGTGAAACACAGCAGCAGAGTCCAGCAGGTTTACACAGCCATGGACTCACAACACAGAAACAGAATCACAGAATGTGCTGGGCTGGAAGGGACCTTTAAAAGTCATCTAGCTCAATCCTCCTGCAGTGAGCGGGGACATCTTCAACTAGATCAGGCTGCTCAGAGCCCCGTCCATCCTGACCTGGAATGTCTCCAGGGATGGAGCCTCCACCACCTCTCCGGGCAATCTGTGCCAGTGTTTCACCACCCTCATTTTAAGAACTTTTTTCTAACATCTAATTGAAATCTACCCTGCTCTAGCTTAAAACCGCTGCCCCTTGTCCTGTCACTACACACCCTTGTGAACAGTTCCTCCGCAGCTTTCCTGCAGGCCCCTTCAGGCACCAGAAGGCTGCTAAAAGGTCTCCCTGGAGCCTTCTCTCCTCCAGGCTGAACAACCCCAGCTCTCTCAGCCTGTCCTTGTAGGGGAGGTGCTCCAGCCCTTTGACCATATTTGAGGCCTCCTCTGGACCCGCTCCAACAGGTCCATGTCCTTCTCATGTTGAGGGCTCCAGAGCTGGACGCAGCACTCCAGCTGAGGTCTCACCAGAGCAGAGCAGAGGGGCCCACCCACCTCTCTCCATTTGCTGGCCATGCTTCTTTTGATGCAGCTCAGGATGCGACTGGCCTTCTGGGCTGCCAGCGCACACTCTTGGCTCTTGCGCAGCTTTTTGTCCACGAGTTATTAGTCCTTTTCCACAGGGCTGCTCTCGAGCACATCATCCCCCGGCCTGTACTGATGACAAGGACTGCCCTGATCCAGGTCCAGGACCTTACATTTGGCCTTGTTGAGTCTCCTGAAGTTCACATGGGCCCACTTCTCCAGCTTGTCCAGGTCACTCTGGAGAACATACCAGCCCTCTGGTATGTCAACCACACCACTCAGCTCGGTGTCATCTGCAAACTTGCTGAGGGTGCTCTCAATCCCACTGTCTATGTCATTGGTGAAGATTTTGAAGAGCACTGGGCCCAGCACGGACCCCTGAGGGAGATCACTTGTCACCCATCTGGACATTGAGCCATTGACCCCAACACTCTGGGTGCGACCATCCAACCAATTCTTCATCCACCAAAGAGCCCAACCATCAAATCCGTGTTTCTCCAACTTAGAGAGAAGGATGTTGTGAGGGACTATGTCAAAGGCCTTGCAGAATTGCAGGTAGATGACATCTATTGCTCTTCCCTTGTCCACTGATGTAGTCACTCCATCATAGAAGGCCACTAAGTTGGTCAGACAGGACTTGCCCTTGGTGAAGCTGTTCTGGCTGTCTTGAATCACCTCCCTGTCCTCCATGTGCCTTAGCAGAGTCTCTAGGAGGATCTGTTCCATGATCTCCCCAGGCACTGAGGTGAGGCTGATTGGTCAGCAGTTCCCAGGGTCTTCCTCTCTACCCTTTTTAAAGACGTGTGTAATGTTTCCCTTCTTCCAGTCCTCAGGGACTTCACCAGACTGTCATGACTTTCCAAATATCATGGGGAGCGGCTTGGCAACTACATGAGTCAATTCCCTCAGGACTCTGTGATGCGTCTCACCAGGACCCATACTCTCCCTGGGTTGAGTTTCCCCCTCACAATTTTTTTGTTTGTTTTTAAATCACCCTGCTGACCTAGCTCAAGCTTTTATTCACATAAGCTTTTCACATTCAGCTCTACTACTACAGAACAAAATTATGTGGTTAAAAAGGACAAAAAGCAACAAGAATATCAGCTCAACTTTAGTGTTCAGTTCAACAAGAATGTTCTTTTTTGTATTAAATTGAAAGGCAAAATTTGTTAACCACCGCAGTGAACGTGGATTTTCCAAAATGCAAGAGAAACCGTAACAATAATCAGAGATTAAGGTCTTAAGACACAGAAATATCATGACTTCTAATTAGATTACAAACAACTTGTGTGTAACTTTTAAACATCTTCAATCTTGCCATATATTAGAAATAACCTTGACTACAGAGCAGGTTTTTTTGAAAGACAAAACAAAAAGATAACTTCTGGAAAAAAAAAATTATAAAAGAGACACTAAGCGATGAACATGATTGTTTAATTAATTCTGTATTACCAGCAGTACTTCTACCTGAGGCAGTCTCTCTTGAAAAAGAACGTGGTATTTTTCTTAAAGGACATCCATTTCCCTAAAAATAAAGACATAGAAAATAAAAAAGTTAATCACGTACTTTTTAAAACCAGGATGTAGATGTCTTGAGCCAAGTGCTGAATCCAGCACAAACTTATTTCCACACAGCCCCAGAAATATGGTAATATACTGAATTTCAAGGCAAATTTAAAACGCAGCTGCAAAGATCTCAAAAAAATGACTCTCCACAACCCAAACTTTATATCTTTCCTCCAGACTGGCCTCCAGTTTTAAATCTCTCCACTTTTAGGGCCATTAGCAACTTTTTAGTCCCCAGGCTATATGGCCACATAGCCCGGCTGGCTTTCCTCAAACAGGTCATTAGGAACTTAACAAAATGACAGAAAGCACAGACAGGCAAATTCAGTGGGAGGGATGCTAAGGAGACAAGGTAGCACAAGCTAAACAACCTTTTTTGTTCCTCTCATAGCAGATTGTGGAGGCATACATAATGCAAGTAACCAGCAACCTTTTAAAGGTTTTCACAGCTGGTAAAAAGTGAATATAATTCAACCGGTAATGAAATAGCACATACTCAACAGGAGTACTCTACTTTAAGTAAGTAAAATGGCTTAAGTGCATAAATCTGAACCTGCAAATCCTAACTAGCAGAAATTTGCCAGACTGTTCCCCACACCACATTTACAATTGCCATTGTATTTCCAAGCTTGTACCTAACCTGGAATATCTCCCCTGCTTTTAAACCAGGATTTATCGTTAGCTAACAATGGCTTACACAAGCACGACCTAAAATTTACAAAGGAATAGCAGAAGAGCATAGACTTTTGTCACATCTGAAAAAGACAGCACCAAGAATCTCATCCTACACTGAAAAAGAAAAAAAAATAAAATAGAAAAAAACACCCACAAAAAAAACACAAACCGAAAAACCCACATGCACAACAGGTCACAGATTTCCACCTTTCATGACACATTGAAACACACCTGATGTGATACACTTGTTCCTGAGAATGGCTTTACAGGATGCGGCATAGATGGTCTCATTCTATGTTTCTTTCGCTTCCTCTCTCTGCGGAGAGCTTCCAGCGACAACCTAAACTCAGTATCAGCTGGAGCGCAGGGCAATTTCATAGGAAGACCTGGGTTTTCGCACAGAGACACGTTCGCAGTGCCATTATTTCTAGCACAAGCTTTTCCAGCATCAGCTTCCGACGATGAATCCCATTTGTCAGAGTCTGAACTAGTGTCTTCTAGATCCATAGAGTCAGTTTTCTGTTCCCAACTATTTCCAAAAGACAATGGTGCTCTTGTTACACTCAGACACTTCTCACTTCTTCCCTGCTCTGACTTGACAGTTTTATTCTTTTTGGCCAAGAAACAACTGCGAGATCCTGCAGTAACGAGCAGTTTTTGAATCACAACTTTTGGGTTCAACGAATCCAGTGCCTTGCATGCTCTGCTATTCTCTAAAACATTTACACTGTCCTTTTTCTTCTTAATTCCTCTCCGAAAGGCATCTACCACAGGACTTGTGTTTGGTGTTCGGTCTGGTATATTTTTTCTTCTGACCTTCTTTGGAGAAGCTATTTTCTTTTCAAAGTGTTCAGCGCATAAAACTGACAGGCCGATGCCTGCATCTTTTACAATTCTTCTGTCCGGTGAGCACAACACAGTTCTGTCTTTATGACCAAGTTCTACAAGAGAAAAGAAAAATTATTCATAACCACAATATTGGGGAAAAAAAAGTAATCTTATTGGACTGTATTACTTGACATTTTAGCGCGCTCACACATGATCCAAACTGAATTTAGTTCATTTCTAGTTTTGCTAGCGCCAGGCAATTTATTTCATATCAAAGAATTGCATGATCTAGGTCACATCTTCAGTTGTTACAAACAACCTAGCTTAAGCACGAGACAGTAACTTGAAATAATTACATCACTAAAGAAATTAATTTTAATAGGAAATTAACGTTTTCAGTTACATTATTAGAAAAAATCTAAATGTGCGCGTTTCAACATATTTGGTATGATACACTGATCATATTGCTGCTCCAATTTGGAATAGGATTGCGCTGTACTTCTGCACATTTACAAAAATTAAAACTCGTATAAATATCTACCATTTAAAAACCACATATTTACCTTGCTTTACCACTGGTTTGAAGAACTCTGTAATGGTCTGGTTTCTGAAGAGAAAACAGAACTTTATCTTAGGAACAATAATTAAATGCCCATACAGTAAATATTGATAAAATTAAAATGCTGTAATTTATTTCTACTGATTTTGCTTTCATGCCAGCAGCTTTTATTTCTGATAGAGAAAGAATCATCATCCTCATCGCCTTCTGGCCTTCACTCTGCTTGGTAACTAAGCCAACTGTCAGTTTCCTCGCTCAGACTGTTTGCTTTGTCACCCTAGTAAGTCTTAACCACCCTTCCAGCTTCAACCAAGCTTTCTTAAGCAGGACCGACCTCACCCATATCCAATATTCTAGGTGACACACCTCACCAGTGAGTTATGAGACGTGTTAACAACCTCCTCATCTCCACTGGCAACACTGTGAGCTAGTAACGGGTACCGTCATTTATTTATTTTCTGAAGATGTTAACAGTGGTGAGCAGCTGACCTTAGTGACACCACCAGTGACCAAACCCTCTTCACCACATGATTAGTTGCTATCAAGCCTAACCTACACCTGCAAGTCATGAAGTTCAACTAATCCTCTAACTTTCTGCTTGTTGCCCACACCTCTTTGTGCACCACTGTTCATTGCTTTTTTCACACATCTGGTGCCAGGCTTCGATGCATATTCCTACCTGCACTGTTGCCAGAATTCTGAGCGGAAACTTGCCCCAGCACCTCCCTTAACACACATCTGTGGCCTCCCTCCCAGCAAGTATTAAGGGCATCTTCTGGCTTCCAACAGAAATAGCGGTCCACAACCATCTTATTTTTACATATACATAATGAATAGCTTTAAATCGAAGCTATTTTCTCTGGTAAGAATACATGGGATGTGAGAACACCAAGGCATTTCTCCATGAGAGACTGTCACTTCTAAAAATGGATGAGCTTGTCCAAGTAATGTGCAATTTGAACACTAAAATACATCAAGAACTAGGAACTTGCTATCTTAATCTTCTCCCATATAGCAAGGAAGTCTACTAACAACATGAAGACTATACTTGTCCCTGGTTTGGAAGTGTCTCTTCAAGTTCCAGTAAGACACTGGTGTGAGAAAGCAAGACTAATGCATATTTCTTGAAGACTTTTTTCCACATTTTATAAGCTATTTGTGTCTTCCAAAATAAAGCAAAGTTACTGTCTGTGTAACTGGCAAAAATTATTTCACATTCTAAGCTAATACATTCATACATGACTGCTTTGACCAATTCAATATAATTTCTGGACTTCAGGCCACAACCACCCACTGCTCACTTGTTCAAACTAAACCCGGATTTAATTTTGAAGTTTTCCTTAAGCTTGTTACTTTCACTTTTGCATTCTCTAACATGGCTTCTGCATCTGAAGCACCTACAAAGAAAAAAAGCCCTGTTTACGATACATTGATACTTCTTTCATCAGGCTACTGGCAAGCAGTGACGTTTAATAATACTGTAACTCAGTTAAAAGCCATCAGTAAACGGGATATATGAGTGCATAAAACTATCTTTTCGGCTTCCCAAAAAGAGCAGAAAAACTGCTTGTCAAAGATTACTTGCCTCCAACCTGTGACATAGGCCAAAAAAGTCCCATTCTGCCCCTACACTGAAGCAACAGGGTGCCCAAATTTCAGCCTGACAGAAGAATCGAGACGCTAAATGGCAGGTTTATTTGCTGTTACTGACTGAGTTGTCTTTCCACCCTAGATCACCTCCCACTCTGACACCTTGACCTCACCGTCTCTTGCTGCGAGGCTCTTTCCACCTTGCATTCCTCAGGACACTCCCAAGCCTCGTGATGGCTCTCACAACTGCAAAATGATCCCATGCCCACAGCTTTCTGCACTGCGTGTCTTTCCAAACCCCTTCTGTTTTCCCAGCTATGCAACTGTACTTCTTCATTACAGGTCAAAGCCCAGTGGGCAATACCAACCACTGTTGGCTGTGCAAATCTCATCCTCAGTTACCTCTCAGGTTCCTCTCTGCACTTGAAACTTGAAGAGACACCAAAACCAAAGCTTTCTGCTATCTTCTTCCTCCTTCTTTCTGCTGCCACTCATTTCAAACGACTGCTTAGCTCTCTCTAACATCCCCTACCTCGTTGTATTTTTTGCTGTCTTTTATTCTAAATGCACAAGCTTCGAAACAAAGTTCATGTTTGTTCCATAATTACACAAAGTCTTGTATAAAGTAACTGAGATAATAGAGGCACTGCTGCTAAAAAAAACGTGGCCTTTATTTCTTTTTCCTTGGGGTAAAGTTTTAACTTGGATGGAGAGTGATTTGACTTAGACTATTCTTTTTTAAGTGTTTATCCACTCCATTTCTACTTCTGCTTTCAGGAAGCGTAAGACATAAGAACTGTCCAACAAAAACAAAATAACAATATCTTAAGTGTTCCATTCTATCTCCAACAAGGAAATGTGACAGAAACTTCAAACAAAAGCAAAGCATGGAAAAAAGTAAGAAAGCACATGTTACAGTACAAGAAGACTCAAAAGAAAGCATTAGGCTTCCCAATCTGCTTTTCAAATATAAGGAAGTACAAAAAAGAACACGTGATTGTCTATGTGAACAGGATCATAACTGTTCACAAACTATTCACAGGAGAATTTCCACTATTGTTTTAATAAGAGATCAAATAATCAGTCCTAAAAGAATAAATAGCTGATGATGCAAAAATAATTACTTTTTTTTTTTCACTTGACACAAACATCACAGTTGTTTAATGTATCTTTGTCAACAACGGCACAGCTCCGGTTAAGCTTTTCAACAAAATACATAAATTCAGCAAAATCTATTTACCCCCACTAAAAATTATCCTATCATTTTTTTGTGACATCTCACCTTAACTAAGACACCAGGGGAACCACTAAAAACTCAGATAAGAAAAGGCAAACCCCAGAAATACACTATTGCACTTAAAGAAAAAAGCTATGCAGCGCAGAGATGCATCTAACAGACCTTCCTGGTCTTTCAAAACTATGGGCACAACCTGCATGAAAGAGGGAGGGAGGAAACTCTTTCAGTTGTTTAGAAAGACATTCTTTAAAAGTAATTAGTGCTTACACTAATTACTTTACAGTGATTTTTAACTGTACTATTGAAAATCTGTGCTGGAAACTCTAGCAATAGCACAGAGAAAGCAAAGCCACGCAACACAAGAATAAACTACAAAGTATTAATACATCCTTGATGAAATAGGCATCTTGAAAAGCACTGTAGAAATAACAAAAACACACTTAACAAAACAACACAGAACAGAAAGTCACACATAAAACCTCACAACTGTCTCTTAGATGACCACAGCGAAACCAAAAATCCAGAGTAGTTTCACTTTCTCGGGCCAGAAGCAACACAGGAAAACTGAGCATTTACCTTCTCCCTTTCCTTCAGGGCTATTAATAAAAGAGGATCAGCCAAAGTGAGCAAAATAAGGTGCTGCTAATGGCATAATGTCATGGTTTAACATGACAGAGAGCAACTAAGAACTACGCAGCCACTCACTCCCTCCTGCCCTTCTCCCCTGCAGTGATGAGGAGGAGAACTGAAATCGAAAGCAAGTAAAACTTATGGGTTGAAGTAAGAGCAGTTTAATACCTGATTTTTTTTAAAAAGTAGTAACAGTAATTGTAATGAAAATGAAGGTGACAAAAAAACAGAAATAAACTCCAAGAAAGACAAGTGATGTACAATGCAGTTGTTCGCCATTGCTGACTGACGCTCAGCCAGTCCCTGAGCAGCAATCACCCCTCTCAGCCAGCTCCCCCCAGTTTATATACTGGGCATGACCTCATACGACATGGAATATCCCTTCGGCCAGTTTGGGGCAGCTCTCCTGGCTACATCCCCTCCTCACTTCTTGCGTTCCTCCAGCCTGAAAAGTTCTTGACTTAGTCTAAACACTATTGAGCATGAACTAAAAACATCAGCGTGTTATCAACATTATTTTCGTACTAAATCTAACCCACAGCACTATTATCAGCTACCAGGAGAAAAACTAAATCTACCTCATATGAAACCAGGACACATAAAAAAAAATCATGACTTGCATCATACTGCAAGAAAGAAAACTTATTTAACTCTGGCATAATTTGGATTTCTAGTTGTGAGACGTGTTGGTCATGCCTAAAAACTGTCACCACCAGCCACTACCTTCATCGGAGACGTCCAGCAGCTTTAGCAGAACAGTTCATGGATAGAACAGGCTTGAAAGTTGAACTAGTGACAAGTGAATCCTCTCTTTGAGCCCAGCTGCTGAAGCCCACCAGGCCCCATGGGCAGGCTTCTGAACAAACACTGAGGTGTAAGACAGGAGGACGCACGAGTACATACGTAGGAGAACTCGGGCGTTCTGAACGAGGTGCTGAAGACGTCAGTCAGTGCCAGACCCTTCCCCGGGTTCCCCTGCACGCTGTCAGATTGCCCGGCTACCGGGCCCACATCACAACGGCCAACAAAGC